GTGTGTGTGTGTGTGTGTGTGTGTGTGTGTGTGTGTGTGTGTGAGAGAGAGAGAGAGAGAGAGACAGAGAGAGAGAGACAGAGAGAGAGAGAGAGACAGAGACAGAGAGAGAGACAGAGACAGAGAGACATAGAGCGAGAAAGTTTGAGGACCAAAGAGGAAGTTTGGGGGTCACAATCACAGCTAGGAGTTGAGAAACGTAGAATTACCAGCCAGAGATGAACCCCAAAGGGTTTAGGGATGATTAGGGAAGAGGATGAAGAAAGGTCCTTCTTTCTGTCATTTTGTCCCAGAGTCTCTCTTATGCCTGTGGCCCTCTCATAGCTTTTTGTCATACTGGACATGAACCCCCAAATCTTACAGTAAGGATATACACAGTTGAGTCTCCATAGCTACATTTGCCACTGTCTATGCCCTACCTGCCGCACCCTGAGCTGCATTGCAAGTTCTCTGCATCCTTGACTGCTCCTCTGTGTGTCCCTGCATTTCCTTGGGAACCGCTACTGGCCTTTGAGCCTCATGTTCGGGGCAGCCCTGCAGCCTGGGCTCAGGTGGAGCAGGCTCAGGGTGGAGCGAAATCAGGATGGATCGGGCTCAGGGTGGAGTGGGCTCAGGGTGGAGTGGGTGGAGTGGGCTCAGGGTGGAGTGGACTCAGGATGGAATGGGCTCAGGGCAGATCGGGCTCAGGACGGAGCAGGCTCAGGGTGTTGGAGCTGACTCAGGTACAGCTCTTTGCAGCTCTGTGGCCATTGATGTCATTGTGATGGGGACTTATATCACCAGAACAGGTGAATGCTACTGTCCCAGCATGTGCCATGTGTCTGCCACGACAGCACAGATGGGGCCAATCCTCTGCTCAGAGCTCCTAAGGGCCCCCACAGTCTCTGGGCCTTCTTTTGTCACTTGGGTTGAACGTCCTGTGTCTGTCACTCTCTCTGTCAACCAGAACTCTCGCGGGACAGTGTTCCTAAGCAAAAACACAGCACACAGTTGGTTGTGTAGGGTAGACCCAGGCAACAAGCAGTTTCCCCCTCTACCACCAGATCATGTCGTGGGCACTGTCTTAGGACCAGTGGGGCAGAGTCTTTGTCCGAGCCACCAGAGGCAGGAGGTGGTAACAAACCACCAAACTTCTCAAAAGGCCACATTTTGGAGTACGGAGCTAAATTTTATGGAACCATCCGGAGCACCCATCTGTTCCTGACAGACCCCAGCCTGTGAGTCTCAGGCCTACGCAGTGTGAATTTCTATTAATTAAGGAAAATATCACATTCTGCTATTGTGGTCGTTGCTCACAGGGAGATGTCCGATCAGCCATGGAATCTCATGAATCCTGTTCCCTCCTCCTCCCACTCAGAATAGCTTGGGACCCCCTCCACCCTCTCCCACTAGAGTGTGGAATGGTGGGAGCCATGAGACGAGTGGGTGAAGGACAAGGGTGTTTGTGGGTTTCTGAGCTCCCCAGTCCTTCGTGGAGGGGATACTTCCTGTAAGCGGTACCCCCCCTTCTCATACCTACCTTAGTGGTTCAGTCATTGATCACACCTTGGTCATGGGCCCAGAAATCCTCCCCCTGAAGTCTCAAGTCAAGGACCCACAGGTGTGTTCCTGTCACAGACAAGGCCTGTCTCCCCACCGCGTTAGCACAATCGAGTTGAGCACAGCTTCAGATGGCACCCCAATACTAACAAAAGTGGGGAGGCCATGTGGCATGTGGTGGGTGAAAGGCAAAGGCTATGTATCCTGTATCAGATCTTATAGAGGAGCTGGAGAGATGGCCTCAGGGTTAAGAGCACTTACTGCTCTTCCAGAGGACCCAAGTTCCACTTTCCCAACACCCATGCTAGGCAGCCGCCAACCACCTGTAACTCCAGCTCCAGCGGGTTTGACACCGCCTGGCCTCCCTGAGCACTGCACCCATGTGCCCCACACTCACACAGACATACACATGAATTAACAGTTTTAATCTTTAAAAATTGATAAAGAAAAACACTTGTATGTGAGCAGATGTATGCGTATGTAAGTTAGTAAAACAATGAGAACTTACCACACGGGACCATTTGGGGGCAGCACTGTCCCTACCATTGAGCCCACTTAGGGCTGGGCAAGTTCCTTTCCCCCTGCATCCCTTGGCGTCTTTGTGAGACCTGTTACCCTGGTGTTCTGTCAGAGAATAAGAGATTATCTGGAGCTGGTTTAAGCCAGTGCTTGTGGGAAATTCGGCACTGCTGTCCTATCTGAAGTCATGAAGCCTTATTGGAATGTGTGTCTGACAATTTGATTTGTGTGTGACATGTCATTCATTTCTCAGTGTTTCAATACAATGGTGACTGACGGTGATTAAACAGAACCCTGGTCCTACTTTGCATATTTTTGAGAATAATATTCTGGGATGTTGTTCTGGAGTTCCATGTACTCTCTCCCCTCCTCTCCCAAAATGTCCATCATGACCCACACACTCAAGTGTGCACACAGAGGCACAAGAGCAGGCCATGTGGAAAAATGAATGCTGGCAATAATAGGCTGGGTTATAGAATTTGAGACAGTTATTTGTTCCTTTCTTGGCTTCCTCTTTCCCTTCCTTCATCCTTCCTTCCATTCTTCCCTCATTCACCTTCCTTGCTTTCTTCCTTCTACTGTGAGAAAAACAAACAGGACAGACAGACAGACAGACATTAGAACAAGTACTGGTTGTTGGCTATGGCATATGAACACCTGAGAACTTCACACACACTTTCTTCCCTCAGCTCCAGACCTCCAAGGCTGCTGTCCCTGAGGAAGACCCCCAACTGTGCATACAGCGGCTCCACCACCAGGTGCGGACTCTACAGTGCCAGCTCAGGGACCAGGGCTGGGCACTGCGGGAGTTGCAGGTGGCTCGGGATGAGGCTGTGGGCCTCCAGGATAAGCTCAAGGGCAAGGTAGGCTGGGCCAACCCTTCTCTTCCTCCAAATGTTTCCAGACCCCAAGGAGCATGTACCAACAGTTTGGCATTATTGGCTAGAGATTTAAAGAACAGAGTGACGTAAGAAGGAAAGCAAGGGACCTGGAGCCTTTCCAGCCAGCTGTCCTCCATTAGAAACGGCGTGTATATATGGATCTTTTAAAAGCATCGGGCGCTGTCGTAATTAGAGTTCCAATTGCTGAGATAAAACACTTCGATCTGTGGGGAGGAAAGGGTTTATTTGACTTCCATATCCCTGTTCATTATTGAAGGAAGTCAGGACAGGAACTCAAGCAGGGCAGCAGCCTGGAGACAGGAGCTGATGCAGAGGCCATGGAGGGGTGCTGCTTCTTAACTTGGTTCCCATGGTTTGCTCAGCCTGCTTTTTTTTTTTTTTTTATAGAATCCAGGACTACTAGCTCAGGGATAGCACCACCCACAGTAGGTTTGGCCTTCCTCTGTCAATCACCAATTAAGAAAATGCCTTACAGTTGGATCTTACAGAGGCATTTTCTCAAATGAGGTTCCCTCCTCTCAGATAACTAGCTTGTGTCAAGTTGACATAAGACTAGCCAGCACAGATACATTCAGAGACTTTCAAGAGGGTAATTCGGTGCTTCTCTGCAGAAAATGTGTGGAATGATTATAAAAGGGCGGTGAAAGACCCCAGGGGGACTGGTTCAGGACCTTGGCTGTGGAAGACATTCAGACCGACACGTGGCTCAACTCACACAGACCCTGATAGGCATATTCACACAAAATGGCAGAAATCCTGACGCTGCGGCTTTGTGGAGTGTTTTCACTGGCAGAAACCCGATGCAATACGCAGGAGCTCCCCACCTTGTTTCTCGACATGTGTCAGCACTTAGTGCTGGCAGTGTTGGTGAATTAATTTCCATCAATACATGATATTTGTTTATAATCCTTTATACAGAAAACCCTAAGCAGCCCCCAAAATGTTTGTAACTAAGCAATGACTAGATACATGACTCAAAAATGCTTTCTCCCAATCTCCAGCTTTTTTTTTCCACTCTTTTCTCATCTGCTTAAAAAACATCATTAGTTCATGCTGGGCAGAGGTGGCTCGTGCCTTTAATCCCAGCACTTGGGAGGCAGAGGCAGGCGGATCTCTGAGTTGGCGCACAGCCTGGTCTACAGAGGGAGTTCCAGGACAGCCAGGGCTACACAGTAAACCCTATATTGAAAAAACTCATTAGTTCTTTGATAATCTCATACAATACGTTTTGACCACGTCAACCCTCTGCCAGCTCCTCAGAGATCCACCGCTCCCTTCCCTATCCACCCAACTTTGTTGTCTTTTTTATTAAATCCATCAAGTCCGGTGTGTGCTGCCCATGTACTTTGGATGTGTGGCCTTCTACCACAGTGTGCTCCACTTGCCAGGGCCTGCACTCTTCAAGAAAACCGGTCCTCTCTCTCCCAGCAGCTGCCAGTTGTCAGCAGCTCCCTGGCTAGTGGCAGGACCCCATGCTCACTCCCCTTCTTCATGCTGGGGTTCAGTCTGACGTGAGCCTGGGTCTCGTGCAGTCACAAACACTAAATTCGTATGTGCAACTGCTGTGTCCCTAAAACCCTGTTCCCTTGTAGCCATCTATCACCCTGGCTCTCACACTATCCCTGCCCCCTCCTCTGCAATGATCCCTGAGTCTGGGAAGAGACTAGGATGTGAGACAGATGTCCCATCTAGGGCTGAGCACTCTCTTGTGAATTGTGACTGTCCTGTGCTCACTTCACAGGGACACTTTTGAGCTTTTTCCCAAACTGAGGCAGGGAGCAGTTACCTCAAAGTAACACACTGAGTCCCTGTGAATACCTTAGTGCACCTGAAGCTGGAATCTACCCTTTGATCAGTCCTGGAAAGTTACACCAAACAGGTGCACAGAAATACTGTTTGTAAAACAAAGAAGCAGACCAGTGTTACATATGCCCACCAACAAAGACCTACTGAAATAAATCACACCACAAGCTGCATGAGGAGGAAGTGTGCATGATTTAAAGGGATGAAGCCAGTTGGTTTGCCTGAAAACATCACCAGAATTCTCTATTCAATTACCAAACAGGATTGCGACACTCTCCATGTAGCAGGTTTTCATGTGTCTGTGCGCACACATCCTGATTTGTATGTGTGCGTGCGTGCGTATATGTATGTATGTGTGTGTGTAATGTTGACAAAAAGATGATGGGTCAGAACAGGTTAGGGATAAGGATGGAGGGCTTATTCAGGTCATCGCAGACTCTTAATAGAGTGTAAAAGAATAGCTATAAAATTTCCATTTTAATATATTTTATGGGAAAGAATTCAGGCAATCTGGCTGAACAGAAGTGAGGGCCTTTGGTGGATGCTGGAGTAATGTGGAAAGTCTGAGTGACCTCATACAAGTGCCTGTTCCCGGCTCCTCTCTTTGCTGTGTTGGGTTCCACACTTGGTCCTTCCCAGCAGGGACTGAGGCCAAACCAGGAAAGCCTGCATGCTGCATTCCGTGTGTTGGGTGACCGAGGCCATCCCAGAGCTGAGGGCTGGGATGTGCTTCCCACCAGGAACAGAATCCCATGCTGCTACTCTTCCCCAAGCGGTAGCAGTAGCCAGTGACTGAGTACCATGCCCGGGTCTAGGTGCCCTGTATTAGTGAAGCTTCATCATAGCCCTCAGCTTGGGGTTCACAGGTCACATTGGGCAGCTGGCTTGGAATCATGTCTGGCTCAGGGATCCAAGTTTCACACCAGATTGTGTCTCTGTGGCTCCATGTTGGCGATCACGGTAAGCTGTTCCCCGGCACCTCATCTCTACACAGGGAAGGGTGATGGTAGGCCAGCACTCTGCACTGTCCCCGAACCAAAGCCACACTGCTCAGTCACAAGTGCGCTTCTCCTTTCAGCTTGAGGAGCTTCGGGCACAGCAGCATGAAGCGCTCCTGGCCATGAGTCCTCTGAAGGTAACATAGTACCACGTCACTGTTTCATAACAGAGTGCTTGGCATTTCATGAAAACACCCAAGAAGCCAGGGACAGGTGTCACCCAGGTCCCCACGTGGGCAGCATTCCATATATTTTCTTCGTCTGGCTTCTCATGTGTTCAGGATCGTCCTATGTGGCATGTGTCCTGACCCCACATGTCATGTCCCACTTTCTCGGTGCAGTCTAGAAGGTGGAAGGGTTTGAGGCTGTGGGTGCTCACATTCCCACCCCCACCACGCATCTTCCTCCTCTCCTTTTTTCTTCTGCCCTTTTCTCTCTTTTTCCCCTCTCTCCATCTTTTATTTCCTCCACTGTCCCATTACTGCACACACTCCAGTACCTGTTTCCTAAGGAAGTTCCCCCCACCTATCCTTTTATATTTATATTTATATTTGGGACAAACCCAGGGATGTTCTTTGTTGTTCCACATGCGCTTTGCCAGAAGGATAAGGTGACATTTCATCTGGGCCTGCACTGGGAAGAGGCAGAGGTTCACCCTGAGTTCCTGGTCTCTGTATGGTGAACTAAGAGGAGCCTTGATTAAACATCAGGCAAATACCATGACACCCAGAACCCTGTTTCCTCCTGCCTTCTCCTGTGGACTCAGTTTCCGCAGCTCTTATATCAGACATATGAACCACTTCCTCTCCCATCATTCCTTGTCTGTCTTTGCGTTGGTAAAAAAGAACTGAGAATTCCTGCTGAGACTCTGAGATGCCATCTGGGAAACCATAGACAGGGCAATGCAATGACCCCCATAAAGTCAGACCATGAGAGTGCTCTCCCACTAAGTTCCTGCTTTGACAAATCCTTCTCACCTGAAGGAAAACTCCAGGACTTTGTGCTTTGTGGGCCCCTTGTTCCATCCCGCCCTGCTAGCTTACACCCGAAATAATCACATGGAAATTGTATTAATTAAATTACTGCCTGGCCTATTAGTTTTAGCCTCTTATTGGCTAACTCGCACTTCTTGATTCAACCCATTTCTATTAATCTGTACGTCACCACGAGGTCGTGGCTTACTGGGAAAGATTTAGCATGTCTGACTCTGGCGACTCTATGGCCACTCTCCCTGCCTGCCTTCTTTTTCCCAGCATCCAGTTTTTGTCTTTCCCACCTACCTAAGTTTCTGCCCTATCAAAAGGCCAAGGCAGTTTCGTTATCCAGCCAATGAAAGCAACACATAGAAAGAAGGACCTCCTACACCAACAGTGTGAAGCCAAATGGAAAGGCGGGGCTGTGCCGGGTGGGTCTGGTTCCCCTCACAATGCATTGTACAGATTGGTGGGTTGAGGTGTGGAGAGGCACTTAGTCAGAGAACTGCACCACAAGAGAGCCCAACTCTCCCCTCCCTACTACTGTACCCTGGAGCCTATTAGCGCGCCGCCCTGAGGTGCTGGTGTGGGTGAGGACTTGTTCCGAGAATGGGGCACTGCCTTGGCCCTCGGTTCAACTTATACCATGCACCCCACATTCCAGGCCAAGCTGTCTTCCATGGTTCACAAATGCCAGGAGAGGAACCGCCTCATTGAGCAACTGCTGCAGGAGCTGCCAAGACAAGAGCCCAAGACCCACCTGCTCTTTGAGTTGGCGCAGAACATGCTTGATGACGTGGCTCTGGCTGAGTATACTGCCACCTTCCTGATCCCGGGAGCCCTAGAGGTAAGTTGCCAAGCACAACACTGTCCCTGCTGGTAGGGACCATGAGTGGACCCAGCCCAGACCCCCTGCCTGCCTGTGCTGTCTTGGCTACTGACCCACCCCTCACACTCTGGATCCTCCTCCAAGTGGTATTGGTATTTTGGGTACTGGGAAAAGTTCTGGGGATCCTTTGTCTCTGAAGGGCTTATGACTCAGGGGAACAGACATAAATGTGTCACATAGGCACTGTCATGCTGTGTCACCAGAAATTCTTGTCACCCAAACTCCATGAGGTACACATAGCCCCCTCCAATAGAAGGCTTGGTCCACTCCACTGACAGTCAGTCCCCTATTCAGCCTTCAAGGCACAATTCCAAGTGCCTATCCCCAGCAACTGGTCTGGATTCCAATGACCACAATCCCCATCACACCCTTCTGCCCTGCCCTGCAGCTGGACATGCATAGTGTAGCATACACATGGGATCCTTCCTGTGTTGTTGAGAGCATTGGCTGAGACCTCTCTGTGAAGCCAGAGCATTTCCCCAGCTTTCTGTCTCCCCATTGTCTGACACAGAATCTGTCCAGGGAACTTTTCCTGAAACACAAGATCAGGAACCAACCGGATATGTAGCTGGGTGGGGATGAAACCCTGGGTGCTATGCCCAGCACCACACTCACACAAAGATAATGAACCAGCGTGCGAGAGTCTCCTCTGCTGAAGGTCAACAGAAGCAGAAACTGAGGGCATAATGTTCAGAAGTCCTTCTGATGGTTGGAGGATGGTTGCTGGGTGCTAATTTCTTCTGACCCAGATAGAAAGCTCCCAGGCTTGGCTCAGCCTGGGGCACCTGCGGTGTCAGCCTTGTCTGCCCCCACACAGGAGGCCTGATTCCTGGGTTTGAGCCAGATGTGCCTCTAAGACACATCTGGTGGATGCAATTCAGGAGGTAAATGCAGAGAGCTGTTTTTGAAGAATATGGTCTTGGGGTTGCTCCTGGCTGCACAGGGATTGACCTCAGCCTCTTACAGCCTGCAGGTGTCTATGGTCCAAATTGCCATGCAACTGAGGAACTGGAAACTGGAGGCCATGAGCTGCCAAAGGTATAGAGGCTTGGTGCAGGGCCAGATCTCAAATTCAGAACACCAGAAGCCATGTCTAGCGCTCCTCCATTTCTGTGGCTATGGAAGGGGGGAAGAGAGAGAGCAGATTCTAGCTGAAGTAATTAAGACAGTCTCAGGGGTACAGTTGATGCCTAATAATTGTGGTGAGTGAGGCATGGCTAAAGCAAAGATGTATTGATTACAATATGAAACCAGGGTGGGAGAGGCTGATTTCCAATAACCAAACTCGAAGGGGCTGATGTGTAAATCAGAGCATAATCAATTATCTATGAAAAACAGAACAAGCATGTGGCCTGGCATACTCTAGGTGGGCGAACGCACCAGAAAAGTCGGCACATTTCCCCCTGTAGTTATCAGAGAGGCAAATTCATTCGTGTGTTCATATGTTGGTCAGTCGCCATCTGTTGTCAGAAGGCCATGAGGGAACTGAAGAAAGATGGGGGTGTGGGATGGGGTGGGGATGGGGTGGGGATGGAGCATGGGATGGAAGTGTGGAATGGGGTGGGGGTGGAGTACAGATGGGGAGTGGGTGTTAGTGTATTCCAGGCTGGATACTTTCATCTTTGAGGAAATTCCCTGGATCTGAGATGTCTCCTCTTGTCCTGGGGTGTAGATCTTGGGGAAGCCACACAGCAAGCATAACTGTCCCTGATGGTCAGCCTCTCTGTCCTCTTCATTGTCTACTGAGTGTCACAGCCCTGGCTCTGCTCCTGACTCGGCTCGGTGCTACCCTCAGCTCAAAAGATGTTCTAGTTTGGTTTCTGTTGCTGTGATAAATGCTATGACCAAAAGCAATCTGAGGAAGACAGAAACTTATTTGGCTCACAGATCACAGTCCATCATCAGGGAAACCGAGGCAGGAACTCAGGGCCCAAAGCAGGAACTGAAGCAGAGAATATGAGGGTGGGGTGATGATTACTGGGCTGCTCTCTGGCTCATGCTCAGCTTGTTTTCTAACACAGCTCAGGACCTGCTAGGGGATGGTGCTGCCCACGGTGGGCTGGACACTCCCACATCCACAGTGAAGACGGTTCCTCACAGGCATGGTCACAGCTCAGTCTGATGGGGGCAACTCCTCAACTGACATTCCTTCTTTGTAGGCATGTGTAGGTTTGTGTCAAGTTGATAAAAGCCAACCAGCATAGAAGGTGACTCTGAATGGAGCCCACCCCTGTGCTGTTTTCTGGAAACTGTGTCAGCCTGCTGTGCCCTTTCCTGGCCAGCAATGTTGACAGAGTTCCTGCCACCCTGAGCCATAGATCTGGGGTCCTGGGGGAAAACAAAGGAGGCCAAAAAAAAAAAAAAAAAAAAAAAAAAAGAAGCAAGCTAACAAAAGGGACAGGGGAACAATTGGCCTCACCAGGGCTCTGGTCAAGGTTGATGTACAAGGCTCTAAGTCCTCTGACCTTTGTTCTCTGATCTCTACCATGGGAAGAGCACAGTCTGTTCAGGACAGCTGCTGACAAGCCAGAACGAGATGACCTGTCTCCTGTAGGCAAGAGGCTGAGATTGGAGGTCCAGGGTTGCCATCTCCACTCTACCACCCTCTGGTGTCCTCCACTTTATGAGGGGGACAGTTCCATGTTCTGCTGACGGTGTGAAGGTGATGTTCTAAGTGCTTGCTGCAGACTGGTAAAGCATACGTTATCCCACAAGCATGGTGCAATTATCCCCCATTCAGAACACAAAAATGAGACTCTGAGGGGGTCTTCACCTGCCCAAAGACCTGTGTCCCTATGGAGCGTTCTAATTCAGCTCTTTCTGTGCTGAGAGACTTGTCTGTAGTAGAGGGTGGACTTGAAACTTACAGTGGGAGTCTGCATGCGCCCCAGCAATGGCCACTGCAGAGATGGGTAGGTGGCGAGTAGTTGCTGGTCACAGCTTGGGTCTGGCACCCGTCAAGGCAATTCCTCCTGCCACAGGAAGGCCAGTATTCAATTCTCTTATAGAAGGAGCGGAGACTATTGTGATGTGTTGTGAAGACAGAGAATATTCCAAAGGTGCCTTTCCTGGGCAGATCCTGAGAGCAAGCACACAGGTGGCATGGCTGAGTGGAGTCCATGGTGTTGGCACTGGCTTCATTAGCTTCCAGAAATGGGAGAACGGCGTGGTGGTGCAGGATCCCAGCAACTCCAGAGGGACAATCCTCCTAAGAGTCCCCTAGACAAGTTCCCTAGGCTGGGGTCTGAGGAGTTGGCTGTGTACTGTGTAACCAACCTCTGTGCCTTCCAGCAGTACATTCTGGGCCATGATGACCGTGGTGGCTAGAGAGGGACACTGAGCTCTTCAGTGGTGATGGTGGCAGCTTTCCTGCTGGCAGCTGGCCTGGAAGCTGGTCCGGAGCACTTGGTTCTATGGACACTGGCTATTGCCTCGGGGAACACAGATGGTGGTCCTGATGGAGGCCTATGGGCTTTGGCTGGCATCTGAGAGGGCTGCCTGGTGACTGATGAGTGGCTGATGGCCTTGGGCGAGGCTGTGCACAGTAGCAGGTTGGCAAGTAGGGAGATGGTGCGTCTCTGACAGAAGCCTTCTGGAAACATCCCTGGAGAATTCAAACCCTAAGGTGCCCACCAGCCCTTCCTTGGAAACAGAGAATGTGGGAATGGGACATGGGCCATGCCCACCCAGGCAGGCCATCTGTGTTTCATATCTGGTCATGCTCCTGTCCTACCCTTCAGGCTGCTACTCCACAGATGGATTCACTCAGTCTTCCCACATACCCCTTCCTGAAGGAGGGCTCTAATAACCTGAGAGCTGTTGAGGCCAAGGGCAAGGGATGGAGACTGTTTGGCACCTTCCCTTCCCAGAAGAGGGGTGTGCCCACTTTATATCTTTGCAGTGGTGGAATTGCACCTCTGTTGCCTTTTATGGCTGGGATTTGGGGAGGGGCCGAGCCCGTCCTTAGTTAGCCCTTCTCTCTGGCGCATGGTTGTGTGGCCAGACCCAGTGAACCTGCACTGTTGAGTGGTGTCCTTTGTCACCTTGCCTCTCCAGTGTGCCGCTTCCCCAGAACAACACATGCTGTCCATTGGCTGTCTCCCAGTGGAACTCCTTCCTCCAGCTCAGGTGTCTTAGAGTGGTGATAGTGGGTTCCAGCTCAGCCAGCTTTCTCTATGGCCCTTGCTGAGAGTTCAAGGTCTTGGCATTTTCCTGGCTTTGGCATAGAGATAGGGAAAGGGGCAAGGAAGAATTCCCACTCCCAAATCCACCTCAGCCCCAGGCTCTTCTTGAGTGAGCCTGGCTCAGAGATCAACAGCTCCTCTGTGTCCTTTTCTAGCCTCTCCTAGCCTGGCCCACATCTAGGCATGGTCACCTGTGCATGAAAATGCCCTGATCACAAAGAACATGATGTTGGAACCTCACCTCTCTAAACTATGTGTTTTGAGTCACTAGAGTTCTTTGTCCCCCATGAGGCTCTTTGAGTATCAAATAATGTCTCGTAGAGCTTAGTATGACACCTGCTATAGATTATGTCATAGTTACTTTCTGTTGCTATGATAGACTGTCCCAACAAAAGCAACCAAAGAAAAGGGCTTATTTTGGTCCACAGTTCCGCAAGGATGGAGTCCATCATGAAAGGGGAAGGCATGGAAACATCATGGCAGCAGCATCTGGAAGCTGACTTAGCAACATTTCCATCCACACTCAGGAAGAAGAAAAAAAACAGGAAGGGGTTGAGACTGTAAAGCCCAAAGCCTGTCCCAAGTGACATACACCCTCCGACAAGGCTCCATAACCTTCCCAAACAGCCCCACCAACTAGGGATCAAGTGCTCATGTTCATGAGCCCGTGGGAGATATTTCTCATTCAGACCACGATAGGCACCCAGCAGGGGCTAGGGCACCACCCAGCAACAGTGAAGTTTCAACTACTTAGGAAAGCCAGGGCCTTGGCAGTGCTTACTACAAAGCCCACAGGGACATGCATAGGCAGCTGTCTTGAATAGTAGAAGAAAGGAGAAGGCTAGCTGAGAGCAAGCAAGTGTGTGTTTATTCTCTTGACTTACAACTGCGGATGTCACGCCAGTAGCATCCAGAGTTCCTGCCTTGATTTTTCCAAACTGGTGGACTGTTGTTTGGGATTGTAAGCTGAAATAAGCCTTTATTCCCCCTGTTGCTTTTTTATCAAGGCATTTGTCATAGCAATGACAGTGAAATCAGGACAGGGGCATCTACCCACACCTAAGCACAGCGGGAGAGCAGGCATTATTATTCCTGGAGCACAAGGCTCCTGAAAGGTGGGAGGAATGGGTTATGACCAGAGGACAGGTAAGTGAAGTCCAGACCTTTGATTGCTAGTTACTGCCTTGGTCAGTCCATTCTGGAATCCGTCACAGAGCCCAGTTGTCACGTAGAACCCGGTCAGGGCAAGTAGCAAAGCAGGTGGCTGAACTGTGTCAGGAGGGAAGATGGTCAAGGGACCAGGACATTTGAGTTAGGTCTTGAGGTTCACACAGAGGTTTGCCAGTGAAGGAAAGAGAGGAGAGCTTTCAGATGTGATGACGGGTTGTGATGGTGCCTGGAGCATCTTGATGATGGGGGAGAAGAGATGTCCCAGGGCCACCGCATGCAGGGCCCTGCCCCGTACAGAATGCAAGAACCAGGTTTCAACCTGTCTTGAAGATCTAGTAGATGGCTTTTTCTTAACCGCCCGGGCTGCTGAGTGGAGCGTGAGTTCCTGAGGCCGCCCTGCTCCCTACAGATCCCTGTAGTAGTGCAGGGGTGGCCTTGGGCTCCTGGTCTCCTCATTATCTGGGAGATGAATCAGTGGCCCCCAGCACTACCAGATGCCCCAACTCTGATTTTTTTCTTAATACATTTTTGAAAAGACACATGTTGCTGTCTCTGCATGGTTGAATCCGAGTGAAGAAAACTGAATGGTCTCTGGTGTGTGTTACCTTTGAACAGGCCTGGCCTGGGTCACCTCTAAGGTGACTGAGGAGGGAATGTGGGCGACATATCACCACACATACCTCCCAGCACAGGCTGAGCTCAGCTGCACAGGGAGGTTAGCTTCATGCTGGTCCTCTGGGAACCTTTATCCTGCTCTACACAGTATACTCACTGAGCTATCTTTTCTTCCAGACAGTCTGCCACCTGGATGTGGGCTCCAAGGGGAAGACAGCCAGAGGAGGAGGTCAGTGCATCTGCCAGAAACATTTCTGTGCATTCAGCAAAAGTCAGGGCTGGGTTAGCCGGGTACAAACTGCCCAGTGTCGAGTTTGTACCATGAAGGGGACTTCCTATTTCTCCCTCTCCTGCTGCTGCTCAGTCCTGCCTTCCCACCTCATAGTGTCAAAACACACTAGAAAGAGAGAAGAGCCTCAAATTCCTCAGCTCTGTTCTTCTTTTTGAACCATTGCATCCATTCTCCAGCCCTGGACATTCATCTCACATAAGTAATTCCCATATAATATTAGGAACAAGCTCAGGGGACAGGCTAACCCATGTCCTCTGTGGAAGGTAGCGCAGCCACTAAGGTGGCTGAGAATGTCATGTCATAAGGCAGTGTAATGTTATGGCATTAAATTCAAAGATGGTAACACACGAGATGTTCTATACTGTCAGCTGAATCGTGCACGCTCATCCTTGTGTGGTCAGCAGGCCAGGAGATGAACTAAATATTAACTGTGGCTGTTCAGAGAGAGGGACACGAGTCATTTGTTGTAGTCCTGTTGTCTTTACTGTAGTAGAGAAATTAAGGTGCTAGGGACCAGACAGACTCTCCTCTTCTCAGGCCTTAAGTGCCATTTTAATAGTAGTGTGGGCTGATTTACAGAGGTGGGGTCGAGCAGGGGTCCGAGGGCTTGTGAGGCTGCCCTCACAGAAGGACTTAGCACTCTCCAGATCTGTTTTCTTCATGGCTCATCTACTAGATTCTGTTCCTGCCAGCCCTGAGCAGTGGATGAGTTAATCAGCCTCTCTGAGCCACAGAGCATTTCTGAAAGGATTATAGGATGACCATTTATCACGCCCAGCACACAGTAGGATGAGAATACATGAGAAGCAAAGGCTCTTCTCGTCAGCTTGGCGTTGCCCACTGCACCACACTGCTGTCCTCTAGCCTGGTCTGGTACCTGTTTCCACAGCTACCAGGCTGTACATTCTGTCTGTCCCCACTCTGCCCCTGATTTCTAGCAGTCTGCCTTCTGTGAGCTCGGTCTTCTCACCTGTCAAAGAAGGAGATGCTTGTGATTAATGAAGCTGTTTGTACTAGGTTTCTGGAGGCTGCCTAGCGCCCCCTGTAGGAGGTGCATGCAGGGGGTGGGAGCTAGCAGAGAGAACATGGAGGGCGGGCATAGTCCCACCCTGGAGGAGCTGGCAGGTACCGGGGATTAGGGAGTCAGGCAGTGGTCTGAGGTGCCACAAGACCATGATGATGTCATTACTAAGTGTGGGGCTAAGAGATTTCACAGGCACAAAGAGAGCCTCTGTCGCAGGGATGGCCATTTGGGAGCATCTGTGGCTAGCGAGAGCATGGAAACAGTATGATGATGTTTAAGACCTGTCAGTTTTAAAGATGGATGCCTGGCCTGAGGCCTGACTGAGGATTCTCTCTTCCAGCTCAGGAGTACCTGCTTACTTCTGAAACGGACAGTATCCTTCAAAGCCTGTGGGGTGTGGAGTCCTGGTCCCTTCCAGGGACTAAGTGGGCATCTCAGACAGCTCCACCCAGTTCCCCAAAGGTAAGCACACACCTTCACCTCACTTCTGAAATGTGGTTTTGATTGTAAGTAGAATATACTCACAGATGGGCATGCTCATGTATTCTCTCTCTCTCTCTCTCTCTCTCTCTCTCTCTCTCTCTCTTTCACACACACACACACACACACACACACGAGAGAGAGAGGGAGAGAGAGACAGAGAGAGAAAGACAGAGAAAGACAAAAGAGACAGACAGGCATGAGTACACATACACACACACACACACACACACACAGGCATGTGTGACAGCTCCAATAAAGCCCACCAATCTCAGAGCTAAAATGTAACCCTATGTCTACCATCTGCTTTTCAGTTCTTATTTCTGGTGAAGCCTTGTGCCGTGCCTTGTTATTTGTCTTGAGTTATTTGGCCCTCGTGTGTGGAGACCTGGGCCCTCTGGTGATCCCTGCCTCTTCTTGTCTTGCTCTGACGGGCTGGCCCGGGCAGTGCCTTCCTCACCATGGCTGATTCAAAGACAATGCTGCTAGAGCAGCTCTGCCTGTTCTCTGGCTCAAACTCACTTCTGAGCACAAAATCCTATAGGGTCCCCAATGTCCTCCCCCACAGTTCCTGGTGTCCCACAGGCTCACCCAGGAGACTCACGCTGAGAGCATTGACAGTGTAGCTCTGTGGCTGCTCCCCATCCCATCCCTGGGGGATGGAGAGATAGCTCTAGTCTGCTGGTAAGACTGGAAGGCAGTCACATGACCATATCTGGAGGATGCTGGAGATGCCAAAGAGCTTCCTGCTGCAGTGCTCCTGTAGCTGGCTCTTCCTGTGGGTTCTGGAAGGGAACGGGGTTTCAGAGGTGAGATGCTGGTATGGATTATCTGATGCCCAGGAGTGACTGATGGAGGCTTGTAGACAGGGTAGAGGATGAAATCGCATGGCCCCAAGTGATGTGGGGTTAACAGCTACACAGCCACATAGAGTTACATAAGATGTCTGGGGTCATCAGACTGCTTGGCCTGCTCTATTGTGCAGAGCCCGGAGGCAAGCCTACAGAGAAGATCCAGTGCAGGGAAGTGGTTCCCTTTGGAGGGCCATGGGAACACTGGCCTGAGGCTAACATGCAGGAGACGCGGGGTGTGTTCTTCTGCCATTGAGAACAAAAGTCTTTGCTTCCCCTCTGCCACCAGCCCAATGCCTGCATGTTTCACTTGCTCAGTGGCAGGGCGTGACAACGCAACTGGTCCCCATCTCCAATTCCTTGACTGTGACTTGGTGATGATGGTCTCTTAGGACTGTTATAGGAGGAAGTGAGCACGCGGTAGGATGTCTGATGCCAGCACAGTAAGTGCTTGGTAAGCATTAGCTGTCATTGTCATATCTTCCTTGGATAAGAGATGTGAGCTGCCGTCCCATAATCAGGGGACACAGAGATCTACTTTTTTTTTCTCTTCTCCAGCTGTCCCTGTCTTCAGGCTCAGCCTGGATTCTGGACAGTGCCCAGCAGTGGGGATCCGGAGCTTTCCCTCCACTCAGGGGCAGAGGCAAAATCTCCCATCCTCCCCTCCTAGCAGACAGTCTCTTGCCACTCTCCAGCTCCTGGAGGAGGCTGGCTTCCCACCAAGCACTCAGGCAGAGTGTCTGCAGCAATTCCCAAGCCAATAAATCACTGGCAGCAGGCGTGAAGTTGACAGGGCCACTCGCTCTCTGGGGCCACTTCACAGCCTCCATAAATATTTGAAGCTGAGCCTTCCGAGAGCACTTTAAGAAATCGGTCTCGGTCTCGGCCCTCGGTGAGTGGGGAGTGTCTTTGTCTTTGTCTTAGAGGCTTGTGGTTGTGGGTGAAGCTGGAAAGATGCCGGGGTGCCTTGTAGACTGAGCTGGGCTTTGCTAGGTACAAAGGCAGCAACAAAAGGTCTTCCGTGCATAAACCTAAGAAGGACTAGGCCACTGTGTTTCAGCCAGCTGCACAGACAGCCTTCAGGATGGAAGCATGGCAGGCTGCCCTGGGGTCCTTGGGCCTCATGTCCCAGGCCTTGTTCCAGGCTTTTCCATTATGTGTCTTTTCCCCTCTTGAAGGGAAGGTCAGAGCCCCTGCCCACCCTACTCTGTTCCCTCCTAGAAGGGAACAAAGACAAAGACAACTCAAGATGTAGGTGGAGCCTATGGGCTTAATCTTAGTGTGCTTTGGTTTTCAGTTTGAGAGAGAATAAACAGAGAATTCCCATTTGCCCTGGCCTTGCCTTTCCCAATATCAGTATCTCGTGAAACCAACCACAGTATGGATCTAGGACTTGATGTGTTTGGTTTCCAGGGGAAATGGGAGCCACTGAAATATAAGCAAAGCTCACAGAGTTGTGGCCACTTGGCTTGGCTTGGGGCTTGGGAGACGGAACCATATTCAGGTTATATCCTAGTGAGGCTGCCAGTGGGCCACACCCTCAGTCAGCTATATGATATCAGAGGTCAGGACCTGGGACAAGGATGGTGAAGGCCAGGCAGGACCTTGGCATGCAGGAGCTGGAGACAGCCACCCCTCTGCCGAGGCCTCTGGAGAGGCTGGCAACCAGAATAGCAAGCCCAAAATACTTTATCAGTTGTCAGCAAGCCATGTGCAGAACTTCCCCGGGAGTCTAGCCAAAACCAGTGAGGTAAGTCTGCTCTTCTCCGCTGGTTGTGAAGCAAGTCCATGGGGAGGCCTGGCTTTACTTGTGTGGTCAAAGAATGGCCTGTGTTGAGTGCGGTTTCTCTCCCTGTGGCCTCATTCATCTTCTTTTGACTCTGGGAGGCAGATGTGGCCGAAAGAATTGGAGCTGGGTCTCCTTAGTCTCCTGACTGCTCCTGCCCCTGGGCTTCCAGGCAGACAATGTGTAGACTGTGACCTAGTGGCATAAGCAGATGGGACACAGTGTGGGACTGTGGGGGTAGGAAGCCACCCATGAGAATACAGGAGTAGCCTCCTGGTGGAAGTACACACTGTGCTGCACCCTGGAAATTGTGTGTGTGTGTGTGTGTGTGTGTGTGTGTATGTATGTGTGATGCTGCCAGGGAAGGGGAGTTGTCAAAGTGAGGCAGCCATAGAAGCTAAGTCCCTTCCGTATCTCCCCAAGGTGAGCTGTTCCCAGAGAGGGCATGGTGTGCTGTAACCCTGTACTGTCACATCCCGCTGTGGGACACACAGTTTGCTATCAGGGAGGCTGGCAGTCAACCCTAATGACAGTCAGACGCTCTTCAAAGGTGATGGTTTCTCTGGGTTTAGCTGAGCGCTGTGTGGGTCAATGTACATCCAAGGAGGCTGAGGTAAGGGAAAGGTTATGAACAGAAAACAAAGGGAGTGCAGAGATGCCGATACAGTAAGGTGCCATTATAGAGACCCATTCCTAGCCTGGTGCTGTTCAAGATGGACAGGCATGAGCCTACAGTGCTGTGATGGCCTCTGCCCATGGTTACACCTCCAGTAGGTCCTGCAATAGCTCTTGGTGCCAAGTTTGTGTGGCAAAATCTCCTCTCTCATCACCTCTGGCTTTAGTTACAATTGCTCATTGTTTTTATGAGGGCACCAGCAGTGCCTCCATTTCTGCCGGCAGCTTTAACGTAGTTAATGTGTGTTTGCATCTCAGTTCCAGCAATGGCTATCCGGCTTCCACCTGCTGGGCTCACAGTTAGGAGGAAAGGACCACAGGAGATGCCGAGAAGCTGTGGGATGGTCCTTGAGGACAGATGATAAAGTGCTGGAGAGAGCGGGTGGCCTTTGCTGAGCCCTGAAGAGGGATCATCTGACGATAGAAGAGGTGCTTGGCTTCAGGGCCAGGCCCTTGGGTGCCAGCTGCGTCCAGCACTGTGTTCGGTTCCTGTTTCTTTTGGAGGCAGGAGGCCCGGTATAAACAACATAGAAAGCAAGGATGTAGACAAACCCACAAAACCCAGCGAGAGTGTGTGTCCTGAGGGCAGAGCCTTGCGCTCATCTTAACCTGGGTTAGCCAGCTGTAACTTTCGGCTGCAGCCCTTGGAGATCTGACTTCTGCCTGGCAAAACACCTCCATGGTGACACCATCTTCCACCACCCTTGCTGACACAGCCTGGTGACATGCTTCATGCTGTGCCCTGAGGCACTCCTAACTCAGAGGCAGCGTCTCATGCTTTCCCTGCCAACTCTGAGAAGCAAATGGCTTAGAAGCTAAGCATAACTCCCACCCCTTGCTTCAGATTCAGGTTCTGACCCTCGCTTATCTCCAGAGTCTCGGTGTTCTGGCCTATGGGATGGGGGTGTCTGGCTTCCAGCATGACTAGAAGGAGTGAGTCACTCTCTGCCACACTAAGAGGCTCAAGTGTGGAAGAGCTGCAGCATTATTTCCTCTGTGTGACCCTGGGAGTGTCATCTTTATAGCCCGGCACAGGAAACTCTAGAGTGTGGAGAGATGAGCAGGACTCAGCTGCACAGGAGGCTCTGGCAGAAGAAGTTCAGAAAAAATATGTGTGTTGTTCTGGGCTTTGTGTGACAGTTTGCAAGTGACCTGTGGGGAAGAGCTGGTCACACTCTAAAGGGTCATATTCGTGCCATGGTTGAAATGTAGGGTCAGTGTGCCATGGGGCATGGGCCACATCATACACACGGGAGCCACAATCCCTGGGCTCAGCACAGAGAAGCCTCTTTGGAATCCAGAACCATGAGGGTCAACACTACTGCAGGCGCCCTTCTTGGCAGTAGTGAGAATGCAAGGGAATGGGGGACCTTACGAAGACAGGAAGCATCTGGGGTCCAGAATGCCCTTCTTGTCCTGGGAGCAGAAGGCAAGCCACGTCCTGGGATGATGAGAGATTCAAGCTCTGAGTGATAGAGGTTGCGGAGAGAGGAGGAAGAATTAGGGCAGCTGATGTAAAGTGGCCGTAAACGGGTTTCCAAGTAAGCATGGTTGTGCACCTCGGCACTTTCTGGGTGGAGATAGAGAGATCTCTAAGTTTGAGGCCTTATAGAGGCATAGCAAGATTCTCTGTCACAGAAAGGATGGGTGGGGGGAATGAACACATTTAAACTCATTTTGGAAAACATTTTAGTATGGAAAATGCCAATATTTACAAAATTAGGCAGAATAGTAAAAGGTTCCAGTGTGCTTGCTCATTATTCAGCTTCAGCTTGAGAACAGGCTCCTGCATCAGGACCCCACCCCGCCCCCTCTCTCCCTCCACTACACTGTTTGGAAGTGGGGATAGACATACCTTATTCAGTTTATGAAGGTTTCAAACACTGTTCGATCATCGCACCCCAAATAAGTGATAACTCTTTAATTTTATCAAACATCCAACTGGTCCAATTTTCTAATTATTTTAGAAATTATACTAACATTTTTATGGTTTACTTGAAACCGAGTCTAACTAAGGTCTCGTTACAGCTGATTAGCATGTCTTTTTGTTTGTTTGTTTGTTTTGTTTTGTTTTTCGAAACAGAGTTTCTCTGTGTAATAGCCCTAGATGTCCTGGAACTAGCTCTTATAGACCAGGTTGGCCTCGAACTCACAGAGATCTGCCTGCCTCAAAGGCGTGCACTACCTCCGCCTAGCTGGCATGTCTTTTTTTTGAGGTAGATCTATGTAAGACAATCCTTACATAGGAGTGTGGTCACCTGCTGTGTGACCATATCCTCCGTCCCTCTCAAAAGCATTTTCATCTTCCCAAACTGAAGCTCTATCCCTATGTAACATGAACCATCCACCTGCCTTGGTGAACACCAGTCTAC